GACTCTTACTAGCAGCTATGCACTAGGGGTGATGAGAGGCTGGTGGTGTCATCATTTCGGCTACATCAAAGATCGCATGCCTCAGCTTTGAGGGCCTGCATGTCGCCACAAAGATCTTCCCTCCAATGACCATCTCAGTTGCACAGAAAGGATGTCTGCGCATGGTCCTAGGAAGCAGGCTACACCTCAAGCACTGCAGCTGAACATAGATCAAATTATTTTAAGCACAAAGATTCCACATGGAGGTCTTCTTTGTTGGTTAAAACTATATTAAGAAATTTATACTTTCTATTTTCATGAAATTTCTTTTTAATTAGGATCTCATCCTTGACACCAAAATATCTACCAGAAAAAAAAAAAAAAAAAAAAAAGCAGACTCTGAAGAGCAAATATTGTACTTTTTTAGATAAAAACACGTTGAGGTTGATCAGACCTTGAAACTTCAAACTTACAACCACAGCAACTCAGAGAAACTGCACCACTGTCCCCAGCATGACTAACGATGACTCTGGAGACCACAGAATGCAACAGAAGGTGAAACTTGTCCACTCTTTTTCACAGCACATTCCACCCCTCGCTATCAGGTCTCCTTGAATACTGATTTAAAAGTGAGAGGCAGGCATGGCCCAGCCAAAGGGAAAGCAAGTTTGGCTTTATAGAGAGAGATCAGGACTGACATTTATTGGTGTTTAGAAAATAAACTCCAGCCGTGTGATATCTGTGGTGGGCCGTTTTATAAATTCAATTCTAATTTTAGTATTCAAGGCAAGATTCAATTTTGTTTCATTTTCCATGTTGGTTGGATTTTCTCCTAAGTCAGAGACGGTGTTCCCAAGTCCTTAGTGATCTCGTGCTTTAAACTGTCTACTTCTGACCACTGTATTCTCATCAAATGTCTTCACCTCTCGGTCTTCCACAAATACACAACGTGTGCTGAGACCTTGTCTGTGTAACATGGAAATCCACCCTTGTTTGAAGGAGAAATTTCTGTGTGTTTGACATTTACCCTTGAATCAATGAAGAGAGAAGAAACGGTGTTATTGCTCATTAGGAAAGCTTTTTAAGTCACTTGTGTATTTTAGAAAACTTTTAAAGGTATTTTAAATCCAAGAGATTGCTTTTTTCTTTCATAATGTAGCTAACATGGACTTTCAAGTCTTAGCTCGTACATGTCAACTCTATGACTGAAATAAGCTCTAACCATGGAGAGGTTAAATAAAATCTATTTAACCACAAGTCTACGTCTTTCCTTACATATTTCCTAATTAAATCCAAAAATATTTTGCAGAGATACGATGGGAAAATCTGCTGTTTTTGAGAGTAGCCCATTCAGGAATGTGAAGACCTACAATGTTCCTTTGCTATGCATTTCAAATGTAAATGTGACTTTTGAACCACCAGTTCAAGGTGGAATTTTGAGATAAACAATACTAATCCCTCATCTTCAAGAAATAATTTCAGATGAATTTAATATTTAGGAAATGGAAGTGGACGGATGGTATTAACCCAAACAGACATAGACCTTTGAACACTGTGGGAGACTCCTTACATGGAAAGTACTCATTTATTATGCAGGCACTTTTTCTGAGCCTTCTTAATTAAGCCACTATTTTAGAAGAGCTAGGATTTTTCTCCTTTTTTTAAAAAGAAGGCAAAATAACAATTCAGCATGTTCCCAGAGTAGAAACAAGAATCACACTGATCGTATATTTACAACTGCATCTTTGCTGTGCTCTTCCTTTATCTCGTTCTCTGCTCCCGGTCTTTTATCAGTCAGTCAGCTAAGGTCAGACTCACCTCAGTGGCTCAGCACACCAGTCTTGTTTCCATTACATTTGGAGGCAGAAAATCTGAATCTTTCCTATGCTGACCTTATTGTTTTCCAAGCTATTGATTACGGCTATCAAGTTCCAGCGGTTCACTGGGGTCAGTCTCTGGAGAAAGAAAAGGCAGAAAGTGAAGCCACATTCTTCTCCCTCTCCCGACTGGGCTGATTTCTCCATTAGTTAGATTTTGGTGTAATTAGAATGAATCACTACAAGACGTGGCTCCTGTCTATTCTAGACCGCCGCTCTTGATTCACCTAGATTTTTGGCCATTCATCAGAGCACACATCTGTATGTAATGAGGGATGAACGGAGTGGAAAGGAGAGGCCAGCGGGAAGTGAACGGGTCCTCCACAGGAATGATTAGAGAGTCACTGACACGCAAATAAATGGTATGTATCACAATCCACAACTCTCAGGAAGCATAAATCTCACATCTGACGTACCCTTTGGTGAGAGATAGACTTTATGAATCTTTTTCACATCACTGGAACAGTTTTATACAAGGATACCCTGTCCTAACATAATTCTCAACCCCAAGTGCTTTCCTTATCTATTGAGAATGCTTTTTCATCGTAATTTTTAAGGCTTTAATGCAATAATCATTAAATCATAGTACTTTTGCATCATGTATGTTTTTCTCCCTTGGACTACTTTCTTCCTAATCGTGTGGTCTGAGTAACACTATAGTAATAGATAAGTAATATTATCATATATCAATGCTTTTAACATTGTGTTGTATGACTTACATAACAATTTCACTTAAGCCTCCACAATACTATGAGACAGACTAATTTATTGTCTCCACTCCATAGATGAGAAGGCTGAGAAAAAGTAATCTTCAGTGATTTGCTTTCAGTCACATGAACTTAAATGGTAGAAACTGGATGGGAAGCCAGGAAGTCATGTCTCTGGGCCTAGGCTCAATGACTGTGCAGACTGTCTCCTTTGTACTAAAAACAAACAAACCAGCAAAATAACAGCTAACCAACTCCCTGCCTGTGTCTGCTGGGTGCTAAGAATACAAATGTGAATCTCTCACTGTCCTGATCCTTAAGTAAATCACAGAATAACATGCATCAACAGCTTTATTACAATAGTATAACTACAATGAAGTAGCTAGCATTTATCACTCATTATAGGCCAAGCTCTGTTTGTAATACTTTACCTTATTTAATATAAACCTTACAACTCACCAAGGTAGATACCGTTATTATCCCTAGTTTTACACGATAAAAGTAAAACACAAGAAATTATATTTGCTTGATCAAAAACAGACAGCTACAAAGGGATGCATCTGGGATACGAACTAAAGTGCACAGTTCTACAAGAAGTGCAGATAACAGGCAGGATTTCATAGAGGAAAATGTGTCCCTTTCATTAAGAAAACTCAGAGACTAGTATATACTGAAAGCCAGCATCGTCCAGTCACTGTCTGCATCCTTAGTGTGATATCAGGACAGATTTTTCTCAGCCCCTCTTTGTCAGACCCTGTATCAGTCAGGAAACAAATCACACAAGGTGGAGCCGCTGAGAAGCGTTTGTCCTCATAAAACCATTCTAAAATTGTGGGTTGTATGTGGGGCGCCCTCTAGGGGTGGTGCAGGAATCTGGCACGAGCAATAATAAAGTTATCCCTCCCTCCCTCCCTCCCTCCTTGACATGAAGGCAGGAGGAGAACAGACAGGGACCTTGAAATATAAGAAAGTCAAGATAGAAGGTGACCTGGGGGCTGCAGGGATCTTTAGCCAGGGCTAAGAGAAAACCTTCCTTCCTTCCCCACCCCCGGCACCTTTTTTGCGAGTTTATGGTTTTTGTCTAAAGTTGATGGTCTTCTATAGCCCAGCCCTCCTTTTTTAAATTAATTTTATTGGTACATTTAAGGTATACAATATAATGACATTCATCATTGGAAATTTGCAGCTTTACATAATCCATCTTGGTTCTTATTTTTTCCCCACTGCCCTGCCCTCTTCAACCCCTCCACCCCTTCCTATCTACAAAGACTCTGTTTCCACCGTTTCTTTTTCTCAGGTCGATTCTGTCCCCTTCTTTCTTTTCCCCTACCCTTCCCACTTCCCCTTCCCCTTTGCTCCTCCTCCCCTTTAGAGGTAGGCGTGAGCTAACCAGTAGGCACAGGCCTGAGGGTCATGCTTGTTGTCCATGTGAGTCGGCAAGCTGAGAAGGCCATGGGAGCCCCAGAAGCAAAACAGAGGACATCTGCAGGGTGTGCGTAAATAGGTGCTGTGTGTGTATAAACTGCCAAGTTTTCAGGAATAAAGGATTCAACTAACCCTCAAAATAGGTCCCTGGTTTGTATTAAATCTTTTGTACTATTACATGGGATCATTTGAATTTAATCGATACCTTAGTAAATGACTTCCAAGTAAACAGAAATGACAGGTGCTAGGATATTCAAATAATTAGGGTATATCCACTGATCCACACAAAAGAAACTGTAAGAAAAATTGTTATTTGAATGGCTTTTGAAATAGATATAGGGTTTTACATAAAAAGATCCATTTAGGACAGTGGCTTATAAACTTGGCTGCAGGTTGAAACCAAGTGGAATCACAGGGCCAGGGATTTACCTGCCTCGCAAGTGCAAGGTCCTGAGTTTGATCCCCGGTACCAAAAACAAGGAAAAAAGAAAAAGAAACCAAGTGGAAATCTGAAAAATATTAGCACCTGAAGCCCTATCACCAGGGCCTCTGTTCTATCTGGTCTGAATTTCATTCTGGGCAACAGAAATTCTAGACTTTCCTCTGCAGTCTAACGTGCAGTCAAGACAGAGCAAATGGTTTACTCTATAATGATGACACATGTGTGATCTTCCTTTTATCGAACTTTTGGGATATGATCCTATTGTTTCTGTTAGCTCATCATGACACTAGTCGCTTTCCAAATCCAGAAAATTGGCTGCATAGGAAAGTCCACATTTACATACCATTCATTACCCATCTGGATCATCAAATAAACTGAAATTACTACACAAGACCATGCCACCACCCCTTACTTTCACGTCGTGTTAATAACACTGGACTGAGTATTTTACACCAATAGTCTCTACCTTAATGTTGATAAGAAAGAAACATTGTACACATATACACATATGTGTGCTGTGCTTCTCCAAAAATAACAAGAAAATGTCATTGCAAATATTTCAATTTATTTCATAATTTTTTCTTATGGAAAATGAGCTGCAGGCAGATCCCTCCAAAGACGTTACTGACTACAGTGGCTTTTCCTTGGCACTTCATGGAGCAGAGCTGCCTGGTGTACCTCACGACTGCAGGATGCGTTTCTTCTACCTGTGAGAAAAGAAGATAGTATAGGAGTTCACAGTTACACTCCGAAGCCAGACAGTTTCAGTTTGAACTGAAGTGCATCAGTTTACAGCTGTGTAGTTTTTGTCATCTATATTTCTGCTTCTTTTAAGCTAACACAGTGATATCCTCTTAAATGAGTTATGAAGAGGATTTCCTGAGCTAGTATGAATGAAAGCACTTAGAACAGTGCCTCTCACACAATAAGAGTTCCATGTATGAGTTGCTGTTGTGAAGCAAACAACTTGGGAGAACTGTGTGCTGTGAAAAGTCTTTCTCCAACCGGACTCTCCTCTCAATGGTGTATCAGCCCACCAACGAGGGTTTAGTTAACATGCAAAGGTCATTCGTGCAGTTAATTCTTGGCTTTAGAAAGTATATGAAAAAAATCAATAAATATGCAATTAAAAAGAAAAGGAATTAGAGTTTTCCTATTTACATCGCCGTCCCTCTTAGGAGCCTTCCTGATAAACACTCATTGATACCACAATCAATAAAGGAAAGGATTTGAAGATCACACCTCCCATGAAATAGGCAGCAAATGGGGAGAACGTTCATTTTCATTTATCCAGGATAGAAAAGAATAAAGTTGATCTCTAACAAAATATTGAGTAGAATGAAGGTGCTTCCTAAGCTGCCTTTGTGGTAGCACGTTGACGGTTTTGTCTTGGAGAGGGCCAGGTCCCCACCGCCTGTGCATTCATGTAGTTTACATTGCTCTAACCTAATGAGATATGGAATATCCCCTAAACACGGACACATTAGAGGCATGCTTCACTCAGCGTGAAGGTTTGAAACATCAAGGATACCTTGAGTACCTTCCGTTTCCAACTTGTCAGGCAAATTAGTACCTTCTCAACCAAGGGTAAAATTGAGTTTCACATTTCTCCCTGATGGGGAAAAAGAACAGAGAAGAAAATCACTCTAGTTTAATATTTCCTTTGTTAAGACAAATACGGAGAGCCTTATCATCTCTGTGTGGCTCTCCCTGATTTTTTAATTCATTGCTTGTAAATGATCCTTGACATTCAAGATCCTTTTGTCACCTCCTATGTGCTTACTACAGAAGACAGACACTGGCTTTTATTACTTAAACCTGTTTCTCTTTTTTATGTATTTAATGAGCTAAATTGACAACTAGTTTTTAAAGAAAAACTAATAGTGCAGTAATAGTGAGATCAATAGTAAGCTATAAATCAGATCATACTTTAAAATGTTATGTGTGGTAAGTTTTTCTAATTTTATTAATTCAGTTGAGTCCAGTTTGTGGGATAAGTTAACAGCTTCAGGAAGTAATATCATTCTATCAGCTTTAAAATCCCTCTAGGGAAGCTTGAGAGGAACGCTGTTTATAATCTTACATAAAATGTATCATGTTCCCTTTTTGTTCTTCCCCTACACATGGGAAAAGAAAAAAATGTGAGAGAATGAAAAGATGAAAATAAAGTGTTTGTAGATGGGGAGGGGAGGAGGGGGTGAAGGGAGGGCAGAGGTAAGGGGAAAAAATGAGAATCAAGACTTGCCATGTAAAGGTACATGATCCCAACAATGAATGTAACTGTACTGTATCCCTAAAATGTACCAATAAACTCAATAAAATTAAAAAAAAAAGTATCATGTTCCTCCTTTCTTTTTTTCCTGCAAATGTCTTTTTTAAGAAGACATGAAATAATGAAATATGCTGTGAAAAAGTATCATTTGTCATTGTCATTACAGTAAAATGATAATTTATTTTTTGAGAGCTTAATCTTATAAAACACTCAGAGTCCAATAAAACTTTAGATCCTCCCCCAGAAAACGACTCTTTGGGTCTCATTAAACCCTGAAAACCCACCAGTAGAGAGGCATTTTTAAAAAGAAAACAATAACTTATCATAAGCTACAAAGGAAACTGAGGCAAGAGCTACGAAACTCGAGATTACCCTGGGCAACTTAGCAGGCTTCTATACCAAAAAGATAAAATAAAAAGGTGCTGGGGATGTAGCTCAATGGTGGAACACTTGCTTAGCAAATGCAAAGTTCTGGAGTTAATCTCCAATACTGAAAAAGTAAAGGAAAAGGTAGATGAGATTTTCAAAAGTACTCTATGTGACCAGCAAGTGCTGGGCATCCTCTGTGGCAAACGGTTTGGTCCCCTTTATTCAAGAGACACAGGATTAGCTGTCTCCAACACTCAGCATCGGTTCTGAGGACAATACTGCAGGTTACGACACTAGTACTTTTGGAGAATGGATGCAAACCAGACAGGGAGATAACAGAGGAGAAGGTCCCCAGATTGAGAGAACCGGAGGATATCTGTAAGCTCCCCTCATTGAATCCCTTCATTTTTCAGCAACTAGAAACCCGGATCCGCATAGCAGCTTTCCCTTAGTCATGTCACTACCCCGGCTCCCAGGATACTGCCTCACTCTTCTGTGAGGCTTCTGGGGTTGGCAGCAACAGTGAAGGGAGTGCGGGTGGTGGCAAAGGAGCACCTGCTCGTACACCTGTGCTCAGTGGTTCCAGGCACAGACAGCCTTTGCTGTGGGAAAGGAGACAACCACAGCAGAGCTGCAGAGAGAGCCACTCCTTAGTGGAGGGAGGCTTCTTGGTGGTAAAGCAGGACAGGCAGCCACTTGGCTCCCTGAAACTCTGGATCCCATGAACCATTTACACACTATGTCCTGGGAAGACAGCTACTTTGCTGCCCTGGGCATTGCATTGGTCTCTGCTACTACTTTTGCCATCTTCTTACCCTTCTTCTGAATTCCCTCACTCCTTCCTATGGAACACACCCGGGGTTACTCAGGAAATAAAACGTCAGAGGGGAGTTCACCTAAGAAAACTGGCTCTTCATACAGATAATGGAAGTGATTATCTAATTATACTCTTAAGAGGAATTTTAAACATGGAACGAAACAATTGTAGTCCTCTGCACTTGTCATGCAGATGGTAGGTAGTGGATACTTTTGGGGGGGCCAGGAACTGTGTTAAGATTTTTCATTTAGTATATTTTAAATCTAGTAAGTGATCAGAATCAGGAATTCATACTGGCTCAATTCCACTTACCGCTTTTTAGATCTTAGTTAAATTTATCTTTTTTCAGGTCCAGGATGGAGTCCAGCATAATGCTTTACAAGTAGTTGTTGGATAATGAAAATAACCACTTACCTTTTTAAATCACCACTTCTCACTCCTGAGTCTGAAGTACCTGAGTTAATTTCCAGTCCCGGGAAACGGAAGACAAACCCACTGCAAGCGGAAGCAGCTGGCTGAGTGCTGCGCATGCGCAGAGGAGCCACTCTCAGGTTTGCGTGCCTTGCACGTTTGCAAACGAAACACCACAGCGGTGTGGAAACCCCAGAGAAACTTCAAAATGTCATTTTTACTAAGAAACCAAACAAGAGGAGTCATATCAAAAAGATATAAGTAGTATCTTGTTCTATGTCTTTACATATCACAGCTTTTGTTTGGTTGGTTGGGGTTTTTTTTTGTTTTTTTGTTTTGTTTTTTTTGTTTGTTTGTTTGTTTTTTGGTTTTTTGAGACAGTGTCTCACTACGTAGTTGAGACTGACCTGGAACTCACTATGTAGCCCAGGCTGGTCTCGAACTCACATTGATCCTCCTGCCTCAGCCTCCCGAATGCTGGGATTATAGGCGTGCAACACCACGTCCGGCTTTAATAACACAACTTTTAGTGCTGCCATTTCTGGCTAGAAAACTCATACCAAAAACCGGGATCTCTTCTCCTGGTTTTAGAGACTTATTTAAACTCGCGGAAATATCAAGCAATCCTGTCGATTAAATTCTAAGACCCAATTGTCAACAGCTAGACCTTGTGTCACAGTTTTTATGAGCTGTTTTGCGCACTCTAAAGGGAAGTAAGTCAATGGTGGAGTGAAATCCTTGAACCTCTCCTCCCAATCCTGTTTTCAGAGGCAGAAGGGCTGCTTTACAGCTCTGACACAGGCGACATTACTCTGGTCAGGTCTAAATCTGACAAGTCACTGTCTGATCCTAACATCAGCGAACAACTCTCGGCTAAACTTGAGTCTTACAAAGAACAAAAAGAGGTCATCTGTTAACTAGAGGAAGAAATACACGTGCCTACTCCCCACATGGAATGCAGTCATTAAGTACTGCAAACACAAACTAATAAAAAATAAAAATTGAAAAAGAAGTACCTCTTCAACTATGGGTCCATAACTGTGCTACTGCGACACAGCCAATGCTGCAGATTTCTATCTTGTGACAGGCAGAGCTGGCTAACAGTCAATCTTAGAAAAATAAAGCATCAAGGGGAGTCTTCTGAGTGAAACCTTAACAACGGTGAACGATCTTTTTAGTCACCTGCCCCATCCTGATTTAAACATTCAGTGAGAGCTGGCGAAGATTGCACTTTGAGACAGGAAAGTTAAAAAGTGCAAAGCTGCACTTTGAAAGACAGCAAAATATTGCACAGTGCTTCATGATTCTCCCCTAGGTGTGGATATTTGTAAAGACGAGAGCTGTAAACCCTGTGCATACAGCTTTATTTGCCTGAGTGCACATGAGGATAATTAGGACAGCACCACATAAACCCTACAACAAGGGGTGTTCGAGAGCCCTGTCTAACCCTTTCAGCTGTAGTCTGCCCTCCCATTGGGAGATTTGTGCTGTTTTGTCCTCAGAGAGCTGTGCCCCTCTCAAAGCCAGGGATGATTTTAGATCCACCTTAACTTTCCTGTCCAGGTCCCTCTGTACCAAGGGTGAGCTCTCCAGTGTGTGAAGGATTAACTCTGCCAAATGAAAAGCTTTGCTTGCTTTGAAGGGATTTTGATATTTAGGCAGAAAAAAACAAACAATCAAATAAACAGACTGTCTGCTGAGATATAAGGCATTCATTTTCTGATGCCAAAATGGAAAAGATACATAGGATATTTAAATTTCAAAAATGTATTACAGTAAAAGGCACATTGCTATTAATCCTCTTAAAATACTCCCCCTTACTTCTAACATACTTAGTGCCTCATTCTTGGCACTTTCTGACGTATCTTTACAAGTTCTCTTTTGCATCTTTATAAGGTGTGATCAAAATTATGGTGAATTCTGATGCTGAATGTCATTCAGCCAAAAATCAGGCCGGTAAAAACATCCTGCTGTGCCGTCCTCCACTTTATTCACTGGATCTGGCTCCATGTGGCTTCCGGCTCTTCCCCAAAGCCAATATGAACATGAAAATAAACATTTTCAATCAATGCAGGACAATGAGGCAGCCACAACAGCACAACTAAAGACATTAAAGAGGACTTTAAGAACTGCTTCAGAAGTGACAAGAAAGTGACTTCAAAGTATGTTCAAAGGAAGGTGTATTTTGGGGAAGATTCATTGTAACAACCCCCAAATATTCGCCATATTTTTTTTAATCCCACCGTGTACTTACAGGAAACTAGAGAAACTGTATCATAAAGTGAGTCTCCTTGAGTCCTTTCTGGGAACAAACCTGAACTCCCTCCGATCTTCTTCCCCCAGGTTCTCCAATTTGCTCGTTAACATTAACTCAACCCCACTGGAGCTCCATCTCACTGGGGTCTTCCTTCTCCGCCTGCACAGGCACCGTGTTGTGACCCCTACTTTCACCTATGGACCTCTTCACCCAGCTTTTTCTTTACTTCACATAGCTAGGAAATCTGCAGGTTCACGTGAGGAAAGATGAAAAGAGAGACTGAGACCTGCTCAAAAGCTTCTCCTGTGGGTGAGGCTCTCTGGAGAAGGTTTTTTAACAGAGGCAGGCAAGTCTACACCTTTGATTATAAAACGGTGCTTGAGGTTGAGGCAGCCCCCATGGTGAAAGAGTGGTACAAACTTGCAAAAGATGTGAGTGCACCTGTGCAGTCATCATGACAGAAGTGAGGATGGAAGAAGACAGGTTATTTGGAGGACTTTCTAACACGATGAGGAAGCTGTGCAATACAAACAAGGCTGAGATCTTCCTGCTTTTATTACTGGCTTTTAAAATAAGTGTAAAAATGACTTCATTCAATTTCCCATCCAAAGAGGAGAGGAATCCTATGTTCTAATTTAACACTTATTCCCAAACTCAGGAGGAGAAAAGATGTGAACTTTTCACTAGCTCTGTGTTCTCCAGCAAAAAGTTTACCTTCAAGAAACTCTAGGCCCCCAAGAAAACCAGGGTTGTCTTAACCCAGCCACCTTTATGACTCTGTGGCAAACAGATATAGTATTCAATTTGTGCTCATATGTGAGGTTTTGCAATGGTGTTTATAAACCTTATTATGTACATTCATACTTAATGTAAACTTTAATTCCATAGAAAAACAAAATCTTCATAGCTTAATTTTCATTGAGTATCATCTGCTCGTGTAGTGAAATCGACAATTACAACCAAATGATCTCTACATCGTGGGCAATGCCGTCCTCTGCACACGTTCACGACGTTGTGCCCGTGACGATGAGAATGTCTGTTTTTTGGAGACCCCGTGCTGAGAGTCTGCATTTTCCTCCAGCGCCATGAGGTCACTGTTGTAGAGTCTCTCCTCTTCTCTCTTCTTTCTGCGTTTTGGCAAAGGGGCAACAGATCACACTCGGATCCTTTACTGAAGAAGGTAGGCAGCAAGTGCCCAGGAAGAAACGCAAAGAAACGTACAAGTACGTGGATGAATGGATGAGAGGGTCCCACGTTCACAGGATCCCGCGATTCGCGCATCCAGCTAACAGCCGCTACACTTCTGAGCAAGGACAGTTAAGCATGACAAGTTTGAAGCTTTTAAAGAAACTCGTTCATTCATTTGTTAGTTAAATACAAATAAGTTCCACTTTTATTTTCTCTGCGTCAGGCCCAAATCCTCAGAAGGCTGTTAAGACTGCAATAATGACTTCACCTGCATTTAATTTTGTTCAGATTACAGCAAAACAGTTGCATGACTGACCCATATCAGTCATCTGTGAGCAATCTCAGACCCAGCTCCATCTGTAACTAGGTGGCCCTCCTAGTGCTGCCTTCCTCTGTGTCATAGCCCACAGGAAAGAGTAGAAAATTTTGCCACTGTAGGTTGATCCTGTATATTGGCCTTTGGGGTAATTTTATGGATGTGTTACTGGTAAATTCTTATGAAACATCCATACTAAAGTCTGAAAAATTTTGGTGCATATATAAATTCAAAATCAAATAGAATCTGGAGAGAAGAATAAGCTTACTTGGACACAGGTCATTTGGAAATGGCCTGTTAACCCTGTTATCTTCTTGGACTATTTTTTTTTCTCCTGATATATCCCAAGTTAACTCCAATTAGGGTATAATGTTTGACCTTTCACACAGTTGCCAATGAACAACTTACTCCAGATACACGGTGAAACTCAAAAAAGTCGTGCTATTTGTTCAGTAAGTCACCTTTGTCAATGAATAATTCTATGGTAATGCAGGAACCAGAACAGAATGGCTTAGACCTTACCCTAGTGTTCACCTGACGCAGCATAATCAGGTAGTTTTGGAAAAAGAGAAATAGCTTTTGTTTGTCTTGTTTTTTGTTTTGTGTAATGCAGGAACCAGAACAGAATGGCTTAGACCTTACCCTAGTGTTCACCTGACGCAGCATAATCAGGTAGTTTTGGAAAAAGAGAAATAGCTTTTGTTTGTCTTGTTGGTTTTGTTTTGTTTTTTGAGACAGGGTCTCACTATGTAGTTGAGACTGACCTGGAACTCACCATGTAGCTCAGGCTGGTCTTGAACTCACAGCAATCCTCCTGCCTCAGCTTCCCCAGTGCTAGGATTACAGGCATGCGCCACCACGTCCGGCCAGAGAAATTGCTTTTATAAGCTCTCTTGCACTGAGAAAATTGCTCTTTGTGACTTCTTTCACTCTACCTTAAGTCTGCCTTTCTCTCTCATTTACTCCTTTCTTCCCTACCCAGCTTTCGGTTCTACCTCGCCTTTTTCAGCCCTAGCTCCACGTAATAGCAAAACAATGAGTATTACTTGTTAGGCCACCAAAGAAAAAATAGCCTTGTTCGTTTGCTAAAACACTACCTTTTCTCCTTTGATAAAATTATGTATGATTCTTTATTATTCCATCCTGTACATCTAGAAAACACCTACATCTTAAAAGGTATCCCATCTCTGGGAGTTCTATGAATGAAAACACTGACTTTTTGTTAAATTAGGACTAGAGAGTCTGAATCCAGTTTCAAGTCACCTAAAATGTCCTGTGTTTTACTGGTGGGTGACAGGAAGGTTTGTATACTTACAGGTGAGAAAT